CGCTCAAGGGTCTGTCTTGTCCCAGTTGTAAATCTGTCGTTGCCGATGTGAAGCACGCTGTGGTAACAATAAAGCAGCGCCCAGGAATTAATAACCTGCTCCTGGCAGGCTTGTTTCGCGAAGCTTGACCGTAGGGGTGTAGCAAAGGAACGACCAAGACTAGAGTAAATATTTAGGAAAAAATCATCCAGAGAATTATTTTTATCATAACTAAAAACATATCCCCATATATTTGCATGGCTGAAACTGATAAACAAATTCATTCGATTTTCCTGCCAATTGCATGGTTATAAGATGCGAGTTCCGAAGTGGTGGCGAATTTTGGACACTACTTCATAGTTGAAACTCTGAGTCAGTTACCGAATAACTGCTGGATTCTAGAACTTGTTTCTCAGATTAATACCAGGGAAATTCCGAAGTAGTTCCTTAAAAAATGGACGTGATCTTTTATTCTTCATCATTGTTTCTTTCTCTCTACACACACATATGCAAACACGCGCCCAAGCACACAGTTATATGCATTAAACCACTACTCATGTCGAGAGATGAGACCGGAAGAGAGTTTGCTTCCTCTGGGGCGGTCATGCCCCACTAGGGGAGATACCTGGTTGAGTCATAACCCCGCTAGGTACCGCGTGGATCGGCGCCGTGACTCACGTTTCAGTTGCGAGTAACACCGTCTCCCGGTGCATTACAAGCACTAGATTTACGGGACTATATACTTTAGTTGTAGACTTGCCCGGAATCAATTCTCACGCACTCACCCACTGATTACGGACACTTGGCAGCGAGTCGCACCCGCGGCCGCGCCGCCCTCGCTCCGCGGGCGAGACCTTTGCCCGCGTAATCCCCGAGGTAATGAAGAGGCGTTTAGCGCGTGGTTCGTCGCGCAGCCGCGCACCGCGGCTACGACCCTCTAAATTTATCCCGGAACAATTTCGTTGGCCTTAAAATGACGTTATGGCCGGCAACAATGAATTTAGCGCGGCGGGGCCTGTAAACAACTCCACGCAGCCCAGAGGGGCATGGGAAAGGAGCAGGGGAGGGACAGGGGGAGGGAAAGCGCGAGACGCGTGGACGAATCGCAGTCGTCCACCAACCAACCGGGTAAACACGGTTCCATAATGGACTGTATGAACGCGCCGGCTCGCCGCAGAAACGAAACCCATTCGGGCCACGTCGATTCCAAGCAAATATTTGGGGGCCATGGGATGTTTGAACGGAGCGCGTGTCGTTGAGGGATCGTGACGTTCCGAGGACGAAGAAGAGTCCTTTCCGAGAAACTGGCTTCAGCTGCGTTCGCACTCTGAAATGTTGCTAGCAGATGAAACTATTTGTGTTCAGTAGATTGCAGTTTGCCTGGCTGAATGTAGGGACTGGTGGCGAAAGGTAAGCTCGATTTCAAATACATGAAGATTATTCTCAAAGATTGACTAAAGGATTAGAAGTAACAAGTTGAACGCTACATTGTATGTGATACGCTCCTCTTGTACTTCTGTTCAAAATCTTCGATCGAATTCTGCAGTTCGGAGTTCACAAAAAAAATCTCCAAAATCGACAGAGCTTGCAACGAAAAAATATAATTATACCGAGAGAAGTACTGACATTTGAAGTTGTTTCAACAATTTTAAACACAAGCTGAATTTTCCAAAAGTATACTGTAATGATGATGGATCCTATTTACCAACACTCTTGAAGTTCGCCTCCCTAATTCGAACTAAACTTTTGACTGATGTCCTTGGTTAGCTGTTAGAAAATACGGTAAAATGCTACAGCAAAATGAAGAGATTATTTTCTTTTCTGTTGAAGAAATGCTGAATAATAGGAAAATTTTCTGGTGCAATATTTATTTACTGAACAGTGTAATGTTGAATTACAAATGCAATAAATCAAATTTCAATTTACATGTTTTTTCGCTGAAATGTCTCGTACCCTGTGATTTCCCGTAATGCATACTTAAACGTTTCTCGACAATGTCATTTAATCGCTTTTGCAAACTTAAGGAGATTCGTCGTATGATGCTTAACACAAAATCTATCAGACAATCTGTGGAAAATATCTTACATAAGTAGTCACATTTCTTATAATTTTAAATATTCTCACGAATGTGATGTTTGTAGCCTTTTGAGAGTTTGTTATACTCTAATGTAACTGTCAAATATTACGAATGTAAAACGTTCTTACTCAATTTTCCCCTTGACAATACTAACGTGGAACGTTTATACTGAAGAGTGCTTAGTAAATTTGTGAAGGGAGAAAAATCTCACTATTTGTAAAGAAAGACGATATGATGCATTTTATGTACCCATGAAGGCACTGTAAAAAATAATGGTAATACTAAGGTTTTTTATAAAACATTTTTTTTGTATTCAGTTCACCATACCAGTCAATTCCTGGTGAAGTTTGTGTGAGATAATTAGTTAATTGCGCAGCATTTCTGTCTAGATAGGTACATAGAATGAACGGTATGTTGCAGGGGTTTTTGAGTATGTAGGGAAATAAAATTTAATGTTAATATCCAAGATTTGCTTTAAATAATAGTGTTGAATTCTTTATTTTAATGAATTTCTTATGCAATTTGCATGCGTAAGCTACGGTTTTTGACATAGGCACAATACTTCTGTTTGACGACATGGAGTGTCATTTGAACTTTTCTGATTGAAGTACAAGAGTTCCAAGATGACTACACTTCTACTCGTATTGTGGCCTTCTTGTATCGTACATCTCTAGGGTTTAACACAACTTTTTTAATTTTAACATTCTGTTACGAAGAACTGTTTGGTTTGTTGTTTGTTTTTTTTTTTTGCGAGAGAAAGCGCGATGAAGAAATGTTCTGAAGCAAAGAAATGCAATTTCTTTTCAATTTTTTAATATTTTAAAAATATTTTTGAAAACACTCATGAAAAAATGTTGAAACTGCACATACGCCGTTACAAAAAGCTTGGTGTGTTGAAATGTCAATATTTGGTGACCTTTCAATCTGATTCGATGTTACTACATTATGTCAGTTGAATGTATTAGCCTTTATAAAGAATGCGATATAAATAATCGCAAAAAAGTGTATTTTGCATCTTTTATACTTTAAATACTTATAACTGCCAAAAACTCCTTCAATCGTTTTGTCGTAAAAAATCCATTTTAATAACCATGAACATTGTAGTCTCTGAGCAAGATAATATAAAGAGTTTTACATTTAATTCCAATTATATTTCCAAACTTGCTTTGATTCTTCGTATGCTATTACAATGCGCAACTTTGTTATGATGTTCATGCTGGCAAAATGATATATTGCAATATAACTGGGATTATTACCTCCGGAGTGCAAATACATCAACATCTGCGAAATGCTGCCAGTTAGTATTTGCCAACCCACAAAAACTTAAAGTTCGGAAGAATATTAGAGTTTATAGCAAGGAAATAAGATGCTTATTATTTTTGTAAAAAGTGTTTCTACTAGTCTTTGGTTTCTGCACTGACATAAATATTTGTCGTATTGACTAACAAATATATAGTCAATTATCATTTTTCTATTCTACATTGTTATTATTATTATTATTTGGTGTATTTTCTTTCTCATAAAATTATTAATCCTCTCCGAAAACACATTTTTTCAGATATGCACAACTGTAGTATCTGTATGACAGCACATTTTACAACCTTAACATTAGATAAGATTTAACGTTTATTTTGTTTGATAGTTTCATTATCTTAATTGTGAATTAAATAAATACAAGACAATGTATTATATTTAGTAAGTGATTTAATGGTTAAAATGTGAAAGAACTATTATGATGATTGTTCGGTACTTGTGGACGATATGCATAAGAAGTTCTCTTTCATAATTCATCTCTTCTTTATGAAGTATTTGAGTAACTGCGAGTGTCGCGAGTGAGACATATGAGACGTCATTGAACGCGTCGCGGTCTCCCAGTAGGGAACTGATAATGTGCTTAAGAATCCACCACAATAATCTAAGAAATTTCCAAAAACGAGTTTATACGTGTTTTAGCGCTGCGATTTTTTGTGGATACATCGGGAATTAAACCAACGACAAATAAAAATATCTATGTAGGTGGCGTTGATTAAATTTTACTAAACTTAATTAACACTTTATTCGCATAAACATACAAAACAGTCGTCTTTTAATGTTTATAAAGATTCGCATACAAAACTCCGCAAACAAAGCATTTGCAGAAGTAGAAGTGAACACAAATTAGACTGGATTTGTGGAGTTTTATTTGCTTAAAACATTAGGGGACAAAAATATGGGCCATAAGCAAATCCGGGGAAGAAAGAAATGTAGTTGTAGAAAATTTGGACACAGAATTTTTGGAAGTCATTTAAAATAATCTTATACGAGAAGCAGAATTTACGCTGTAGAACAGTTTACAGGTGACCTTTTACATGCGTTTTCCTGCATATTAGAAAAAAAGTGTTCAAAATGTAGCTGTACTAAACTGTTGAACTAAAATGTTGAACTATTCGCAATATCCATACCTGCAAGTATTTTTACAGCTATTATAATTTTGAAATTGCAATATTACGGGTTCATATCCCGTATGGAGGTAACACAGAAGGTCATTGGGTGTTGGGAATTTTTGAATGGGTGTATAACATTAGCAGCTACTGCATTCATTGGTATGTCCAATATAAGATTCTAAAAGAATTTGAATAAATCTATGCATGACATTTAGAAATTTTCAACACATGAAAGGACTTGTAAACAGTACACTGCGTCGGTGCACCCATATTCAACTAGTTCATAATTTAGACAATACGGTTGTCCAATAAATTTCACTTTGTTACAACATCAGTTTATAATCTAAGGAAACACCGAATCCATTATTATAGGGATTCTGTAAATATCCGGTGTTCTTTATCCATGTAAAATAATCATAATGAACGGATACATTTGATACTATTTGATGATGATTACACTTGAAATAACAGCGTTAAAGCTACGTGTGGTTCAGATGTACGAAATGCTCTAGAGCACTCACCTCCTGGATGTTCCGGAGCCAGTAGGAGAGGTGGTTGAAGGAGTCCAGGCTGGTCACGTCGTACATGAGCAGGATGCCCATGGCGCCGCGGTAGTAGGCCGTGGTGAGAGTGCGGAACCGCTCCTGCCCCGCCGTGTCCCTGCGGGCACGCGCATTCACATCCTCTGAGTAATTGCGATTCGAAAGTTAAGGAAATAGTATTCAAACAAATTACAGTGATACCTTTCTAATGGTTCCAAACAAAAGCCGTTGTGATATGTTCTGACATAATATGAAAATCGTAATCAAGCAGCTTCATTGAGCTTATCGTACTATGGGAAACGAACATCTGATCTAATTGTGCTCTTTGCATTGAAGTATGTTCACATTTATTTAACTACACATAACCTACATAATTTCAAAAGTTTTTTCACGGGCAAGCTAAAACATCTGTTACACAAAAACAAGTAATTATTGACATCTGTACTCTGGTTGTTTCTTCCACTTGAGGTTCAGATTTTGAACTACATTTGACGCAACTTAATCGTCATGAATAATTCAAAAAGGATGCGTTCCAAGTCTTTACAATCACTTACGTTACTAAAGTTTGTGAACTTTTTATTGGGAAGTACAGGTGATACCTGTTGAAATTTAACAAACATTTTTTATCTACTTTACCATAACATGGCATCTGTGTGTGTATATTATTTGTATTTTGAATGTATTCTCAATTCGCTTTGAAAATAAATATTAGATTCATTCTTATTTGACTAAAATCATTTTTAATGTTTCTGGATGTAGTATTACGAAAAATGTTCACTATTAAATTCTTTAAGGTCTAAAAAATTAATTTCTTTAAAGCGACTTTCGATAACGTAGTGGACAACATTTATTAAGCTTCCGAAAAGTTCAGATGATATATGCTAGGTAGTTAAAACAGTTGTACCTTTCCAAAGCACAAATATAAAGGAAATTCATATTTTACTTGTTCCCCATGGATTACTTGCTAGTTTTCTGTGGTTCGATTTCCAGCAAAAATGGATCTGAAACTTTCTAATACAAATCCTCTCAATTCCTATAGTTGTGTGACGAAAGAAAAAGCTCAGATGGGCCGAGAAAGTTGGCTATGGCGATGGGAACACGTAATGCTCGTCACATGTCTCCCTTACCCTCAGGCGTGGTTTATAAATAAAAACAGGGCTCACACCTGGGAAGACTGCTATTTGGCAAAAGTCAAATTTACGACACTAAAATGTCAAATATATACATTCATACATTAGTTTCCTTGTTTTCTTTTGATATATTTTTTACTCGTATTCAAAATGACTTCTTATTTATAGATAATAAAGTTATTGAAGGTATGATAAACTTCAATTTTCATTTCTTAATCCAATTTTCATATTAATATTAATTTAGTATTTGAAGATATATTCACCTGTGTGAATATATCATATTCACTTGTGTAAATATTTTGCACAGTCGAAATATTTTGCATATTTTGACGGCCAATTACGTGTTAATTTACTTGTATGTTAACTCATTGGCCCACAAATTATTTTGCGAAATGTTTCATCTCTAAAGTATTTGCTCGGTCTGGCATTTTAAATCAACGTCATTTTGCCATCAGTTTGCCAATCATTCAGTCGGCAGGTGGATTAACAGTTTACTCGTACATGTTGAAAAGAATCTCTCAAAAAATTCATGTCTTTTATATTTCAAAATCTAAAGCTTTTAAAGAAACTTTTAAAGAATAATGAAAATGTATGAAATGATAATCTATTAATAAAATTATTTCATTCTATTTAATAAATGATTTTTAATATTGTTAATATTACTACTTGAAAGATTATCCCATTTCTTCATCTTTGTATTTATGGTTTTCATAGGGGGCAAATATGGTATCATATCAACGTAATTAAGTTCAACTTTGTTGTAATGAGTAATGAGCCTATTGGGAGACTTCGGACGTGTTGTTTTTTAAAAGTTTGAAATAGAAATCTATGGGAAGATAAGTAAATTAAGCTTGTTCCTCAAAACACCAAGGAACACTGGAAAACACGCACTCTACATCCAATTGAAACAGTGATTTTCGTGAGGCGCCCGCAAGCAGAGAGCAGAAGAGAAATTAGGACAAGATATGCCCCTCACGACGGCTTTTTTCAAAAGATAAATTTGACCACATAATAAGAAAAGGCGGATCGTACTGGAATCTAATAAAGATTCGCAGTAAAATAACATATCGAAATATTTTAATTCTGTTCGTTCGTCAAATAATTTGCTTCTTATGTAGCACAAATTATTTCATTCGTAGCTAGAAATACTCTTTAAAATTATCTTATCACTAGCAACATATTTTAAGATTTGATAAGAACGAATGTTTAATTTTTAACTATTTTTATGGTTTCGTATTTTGGTATTTTTATAAGAACTAGTTGATTCTGTGATAATATTGCACACGTTGAGAATCACTGTTTCAAAATTGGAAATACCTTCCTACTGGAATCCTACTTTGAACGTCAAGACCGGGAATAGAGCCTTGAATCTTACAGAATGTCCATGCATTAAACAAAATCCAGCACCGAATGCGCCATCTGATGTTGAACATTTATACATTGAGTATTTGTGTTCGTGTATGTGGGTGTGCTTACGTAAAAGCGTAATCAGAACTTAGAAATCACTATTTTCCCCTTAAAATATTGGAAATGCTGTACACAACCCAGCCCCATGCTCGGAACTCGTGCATTCGGGGGCGAGTTTCACGCTGATTGCCGCTTTACCGCGCTGATGCACGATCTCCACAGCGCACCCTAACGCTGAGCATATTGTCGAAAGCATCGAACATTTGTGTCGAGCTTTTGAGGTTGATCGAGTTGCGATGCAGGTAGATCAAAAATAGATCCGTAGTTGTGGACAAAGGGCACCAAATATGAGCGACACGTCCCGAGTAATTAGAGAATGCTGCGGCTCGGGATGAGGTCGAGTGATCGGCCGAAGCGGTGGCAGCCCCCCCTCCAGGTATTTTAGTGTCACCCCCACACGCCTTCACGCTCCAATGCCCGTAACGGAGATCGTTGTACTTCAATTGCGAAAAGTAGATCATTCCTCATCTGACATTTACATTTTTACAGTATTTGGTGGTGTTGTTCGCGACTATCACAATTGTTTCAATATCGCACTAGTAAGTCTGGACACAAACTGCTATAATTAATAATAAGAAGAAGAAAAAGAAAAATAAAAAGAAAAAGAAGAAGAAAAAGAAAAAGAAGAAGAAAGAGAAAAAGAAGAAGAAAAAGAAGAAGAAAAAGAAAAAGAAGAAGAAAAAGAAGAAGAAAAAGAAAAAGTAGAAGAAAAACTAGCGTACCCGTGCGAGAACTCTCGCGTATTTAATTCGACCCTCTTCCCTATCCATTTCCGTATGAAAAGGGAAAGTTGTTAATGAAACATTACTTTTTTTAAACAATGTATAAAGTTAAATTCCAATATATTTATAGATTATCAAATGAAAATATTAATACTTTGATAAATGGTCCCAAATATATGTGCTGCTAAATATTACCCTTCACTGCAATTGCCTGTATACCATTTTTATGTCAATTCTTTTGTGAGATATTGCTCTCAAAATGTTTTTTCATTTTGCTATCATTTGAAGATCATAACATTCGTGGTGGGCAAACAATTATTAAATAGTATTTTTTAGGCTTAAATAGTAAAGTTTTAACAAAAACCGCTGCTTTCAAATATTGCTTAGAGTCTCAATGAGCATTAACTAAAAAAATACATACAGTGGTGGATACAACGGCAGATACGCAGCAGTGCACAGAAGATTTGTAAACTAAATCATGGTCCTGATATCATAAAATTCGGAACATCACTCATTTAAATAAGCGAAAAAGTGATTTCACAGCTTGCATTAGACAGCCCGGCATTTAATGTACTCGCATCGTCAGTCTTCTCCCCTCGCCGAAAAGCGTCCTGCCACCATCGCTTGCACTTTGGGCGCTGTCGCGGGCAGACGATCGGCTGGTAAATGCAGACAGCCCGCGGGAGCACGCGTTGTGCAGACCTACCCTCAAGCAACAGTCACAACTATGTTTATAACTTTATAAAAGTATTAATTCAATTTTATTTTCTATTTCACGGTAATTCTGTATTATTTCCTTAACTGTGTAGTTTTCTGTGTAATTATTATGAAGGAAAGAAAATTCAAGAATGAAGGACTAAATTTCTCGCCCCAAATGTGCGCGATGCACCCGTGAAGGATAATTCGACATGCAGCAGTAGGATATTACGGAGTTGATGGAGCCTTATTAACCGCACAAAATCGTCATCTTTCCTTAGAGAATTTCATACTGGGAAGATGATAATGATACTTCCTTTATCGTATAGGATTTCAGAAATGTGTGGAAGATCACATAATTCATTTCTCGTTATGTAAAGTATTATATTACTTTGGTATAGATTCACAGAAGGAGAGGGGAGGAAGTATTAAATGTTTACGTAATCAATTACAAGCGATGTTGTGTAATAATTCGAGCGAGCTATGTAATGTATAGATCTGTCCAATTGGATTTATACATCCAATATTTGTATTAATCCGAAGTATCTTTCCCCAATTTTCAGCGAACAGTTGTTTTTTTTCACTTTCCCCCACCATATAATCATTATGATTACAAAACCAATATTTTGTTGAAATTACTAAGGCAATTACATCCGCGCAATTGCGACGTGGAAGCCGGAGCAAAGCCCAGCCCCGGGGGTCCGAGCGGAGCGTTGACCTGCATGCAGCTGGTGCAGCTCACTCGCATTACGTCACGCCGCCCCCAGCCATGCCCAGCACGGGCCGCACGACAGGGGCCCGGCACGAACGCCCGCCCCACCTCAGCCCCTGTTCACAAGAAGACCGCCAACAATATCTTCTCTACGTTTCAAATCGATTTTTTTTATTCATTGTGATGGAAGGCTTACGGTTAACAAATATTTCAATGTTATATAAATAAGCAACTCGTGTACTTGTGTATAAGTGGTATGTCTTCTGACGGTCTGGCTAATTAGTTGATAGTCGATTAACGTCACTTCATCCAAAATGGGTGAATAAAGTCAGAAATAGGAGCAACATCGAATCATACTTCTGATTTCAACCGGATAAAGTACATATTAACCAACAAGAGGTGGCTAGGATAATTGAGACACGTAACGGTGTCCATAAATGGCAGATAACGTGTTAAATCACGGAAGAGGCTGTTGGTGGAAAGCTTTGAAGGCACCGAACGCAATTTTGAGTTTCCCTGCGATAGTTTTAAATTTCCTTTTACCCCTAAACCTAAAATAACCTCTCTATACTGTTCTTCAGTTGGAGCTTCATTACACATTTCTGAGTTTGTGACGAGGCACCGGCCTTCACGATTTACCAAAAAGTTTTGGAGTCTTTGTAAGGCAAAATTGTTAATGCAATTTTATGCCAAAATACACGCACACGCGCAAGACGGCTTACTTTTGAACAAGCACCTTATTTTAGTCATCTCTTTGTGATAACAAAATTAGTGTAATAAAGTTGGAAATGATCCTTTGATCGTCATTCATTCAATTTTATTCAAATCGTCTGAATATTGTGCGAAATAATCTGATACTGCTAACATTGGCCGTATTTCTGGCTTTAGCCATAACGTTTTCATGTGCTTATTTTTAGGAAACAATCCACTTATCCTTTTCTTGCTGTCTTCATTAAATGTTATATATTTGCTTTCAATGTATAATTTTGCTGATGGCATCAGTTTCCCAATTTCGATTTGCGATATTGCTTAAACTTAATTTCGTATCGCTAACACTCTCCTCTGCTCACTTCTCTCTCCTCAATATCTCATCGCAGTCATACGACTAATATTAATGCTGTTTCTCTCTTTATCTGTCTCTCCCTCCCTCTGTCAGCCCGTACCTCATTTATCCACTCGCAACCCCCCTGCTCGCCGAGTGCCCCGCCCCCCAAGTGTCCTGGTGGCCTCGTGCTCTGCGTTCGCTCCCGTTCACCGATTTCGCCGCCGCCCCCCCGCCCCCCTTGGCAAGGCCCGTGCGCACGCTAGCCCACCGGCCAGTCGCCCGGCCGGGCCCACACGGACGGCGTGCGAGCTGACGGACGCAGCGCGCCGCTCGTTTGTCACACACACGTCGTCGTACGTCACCGGGCGGCACGCGCGCGCGCGCTGTCACGCGACGCCGCCATCGTCTTCCGCGTTATGAGCCACGCATCGAAGCCTTGCCTCTGGCTGGACCCCATCAGCAAGGGTGGCTGAGGGCCTGGCAAATTGGGCTGAGAGAGGAGAAGGGACGGAAAAAGGGAATCATGAGGGAGAAGGAGGAATGGAAAAATTGGAATCGAAAATCTCGAATGTCCAAATGGTTCCAAATTACAGAGCATCAGTCATAGCAGGTCAGGATGACTCAGCATTGAGAAGAAAATATGTATTCAGCAAATATTGTGACTAATCGTTCCATTTCTCGTCCAAAATGTATACTAAACACGTCCCTTTTGTTTAAAATTCCCATAAATGCTTTGTACTTTTCAGCTTAAAGTGTTTATTTACAGTGATTTTATTTGCAAATGGGAGGGTGATGTGTTTGTTTGTTAATGTGTGAATTTTTGTATGTTTGAAAGAATAGTACTAATTAGTATTTACTAAATTAATAATAATCAAAAGATTAAACCTTCGCCCTGATGAACTTCACCTGGAATACTACAGGTTTTCTAGGTTTCAAACAATTTATAGGAATATTCAGTTATTGAACAATCACTACTGTGATAGATAAACAATTGTACCAGTTCTCAGCATACGCACTGCTGAAGCGAACGCTATAACCACCTATTTTGCCTTTCGATTCGTCTATGCAGTTTGAAGGAATAGTAATTTGCGAGAGTATGGGAATTTGGATTACTGTATGCCCTTTCCTCAAAGATACAGGAAACACCCATCCAGAGTTTGATGGTTACAATACAAAAATTGTAAAATCGTGAAGACACAAAGACTTATAAGTGCAATTCGATATTACTGAAAGTGGATTTTTTTGTTAAGTTACTTTCAGTGTTGGTCGTTGAACAAAATATGAGTTTCACTGATGAAAGGGGGCACATCTGCATTGGAACAAGATAACGCAATTGATCTTCAATCAAACTTCCCACTTTCAAAAGAAATAGGGGGATGTATCACGATAAGGTGTTTAATATAATCTTTTTAATACATCGAAGGGCTTAGAAGATATATAAGATTGACTTCATAAAGATAGTCGAAGTAATGAAACTTTTCCTTGAATATGACTAATAATGTGAACACAGCGGGGATAAAATTCTATACGAAGTTATATCAATTGAAAGCAGTTGTCACCTCCTCAGAACGGTATTTCTCGTAATTTGCTTTGTTTGTAGTGCATAATGCATTCTTTAAGAAGTCAGTAATACTGTTCAGAATGCTCTATAATTAGTTTTTCATTCGTGATTTCTCTGACGTAAAGAGCAATTCGATGAAACATCGTGGTGTTACGTAGCTCACCTACTTGACAAAATAAACATTATTAGAAAAAGTGTGAATGTGTGCAATTCTTGTGTACGTCAAAAAGACCTGTGGCGGTCTTCGTGAGACCTGTTTTGAATCAATGTGTAGAGAGAGAGAGGGATTGTAGATGTTCAAAAACCCGAATGAATTATTTGCAAGCAGATTGGAATCTTTATATTTGAAATTGAGGAAAATTGCTAAACATTTTCTCAACTTTTACTCATTTTCGTAAGATACTTCTAAGAAAGGGTTTTAATGGTCTTATTTAATTACCGCTTATTAATCTATGCACATTTTTGTTCTATTGTCTTCAATAACAATGGACTGTGAGTTTCGAAGCCACCTGAATTACGTATGTGTGACAGAATAGTATATGTGTGACAGCGTATATCATTTCAGAATCACGATTTAAACTGACTATGAAGTTCTTAAGCCTATATCAAGAAGAGAAATGTCACTGATAGAAACTTAGGCAATGACATGAGAATGGAATTGTTTAGGTAGTTTTGTTTATTTTTTGTTTGTTTTTTCGTCTTCACAATGATAATTTTGCTATCACAGAAAGTTTTAAATATGTTTGCCCATATTTTCTTGCAACGATGGCATGTTAAATACACGGGTTGTATTTGCGTATTTTCACAGAGTATTCTATTCTGTAAGGTGTTTAATTCTATGGAACGAAAGGTCGATGTTCATTGTCTCTTCAGACAAGATGTGAAAGAAAAGATCACAGTTAGCGTATCATCTCTGCCATCATAAATGCAGTTGTACTGCATTTATGATGGCTTGCTGACTTTTTAATAAAATATCTGTAGAAAATTGATATCATATAGAGAAACCTAGTGTCATATTATTAGGAACTTTCTCGTCTGTTTTGGCAAGTGAGATATTCAAACACCACACAATTTTCTAACTTTATAATGCGTGAAAATTGTATACTCTTCCAGCCCCAACTCCGTAAGATACTCTAGAAAGGAACTGCCTCCATGTCATTTGGCCCTTCTCCAAGAACCCACAATGGTGGTACTTGCCATTTTAGTTCATTGATGATAAATGGTTTCTGATATCTCGACTCCATTTATTAAATAATCAATAAAGCATACCAAATGACTTTTAAAATGTATCGAAAATTCATTTGTATATTTTAATATATATATATATATATATATATATATATATATATAAAATTATAAGATACACGATTACATTTTTCTTGGATAAATTTAAAAAAACCTTATTATAAGAGATGGGACATGAAACAAACTTCAATCCACATCACACCGAACGTATCTTTCTATACCTTACACGTAAATAATATCAAACATATATTTAGCTTCAGAAAAATATGTCAAACTGTTACATTGGAAATTGTTTAATTGTAAAGAATAGATGGCGGGGAAAATTATCGAATAGCACGACGAAATGCGAGATGATGTCAAAGGTTTCAGTGCCGTCCTTGTATCAACTATGCGGTGATTCCCCCTAGTTTTGCCCGATATTGGAATTTGCTGTGCTTTTTTACATAGTCGGCTGATCCTTCACAGCCTAGCATCTCCACGGCTTACATACGATTTATTGTAAGATTTTTAACTCACCAGATTTGAAGTTTAATAGGCGTTCCATCCAGGTTGATTATTTTCTGTTTGAAGTCGATTCCTGAAACAAAAAATATTTTATTTTGAAATATATTCTGAAGACATTTTTTCTTTTAACACACGATTCGGCAAAAATGCATCATTGCTTCCTGAAGGTGCCAATTTTAAGGTTCTGAAATTTGTCTCTTTATTAATATAATATTTAAAACGTCATAAACTCATTCCATTTCAATGAGACGAATATTAGAAATTAATATTATGAGATATCAATTATTGAACCAACATAAAAGTTACAAAATTAAGAATTTCTATTCTATACAATTTTATTCCACGACATGAAAAATACAAATAATATTTAAAAGTACATGAACACGTAAAAACTAGACCACATACGGATATAGCCTAATTAAAAACCTTTAAACACATTGCGGATTTATCCAGCTACAAGTTAGTGATTGAAGACGTCCCGCTGTTTCCCTTGACGTAAACCCACTTTGTCGCAAGTTTATTTCTCCTTGGAAACACTCGCAGCGGTTTCCGGTCTCTCCGCGCCGCGCCCCGCAGAGCGCCGTATGTTTCCGTCGCCGGGAGCAGCAAAAAGTCGCTGCAACTTGGATCCGCCGCCCCTGTTTCGCGACGAGCGCCGTGCGCCGCCTGCGAGCGAGGCCGGCCCCGTCCTCGCCCCGCACAGGCACCGGGTTCCGCCCCGCCGCCCCTCCAACGCTCCGCCCCCACAACCGCCCTCACATCCTCACCGCACAACCCCGCTCCCGCCCCGCAGCGCCTGCCCTGCCCGCGCCCCGCCCTGCCTCGCCCCGCCCTCAGCCGCCAGTCCCATCCCGCACAGCCCCCGGCTCCTCGCCACCGCACCTCCACCGTCCTCGCCCCGCCCAGCCCCGCGCCACGCCCCGCCCCGCCCGCCCCGCACCGCACCGCAACCGGCCCCTCACCGCACCGGCCACCGGTCCGCCTCCGCACCGCCCCTCACCGCCCCTCAGCCCTCCTCACCCGCACAGCCCTGCTCCCACCCCGCCCCCGGCTCCGCCCACGCACTTCCACCGGCTGGCACTCCCACCCGCCCTTACCTGCCCTTCAACCGCGCTCGCTCTCGCCTCGCACCCCACTCCAGCTCCGGCCCAGCCCGCCCCCTCCCGCCCCTCCCGCCCGCCGCTCCATCCACGGCGCCCTCCAACCGACCCCGCGGCCGCCACGCTGGGATTCGATGCGAAGGTTTCCGGGAACGAGAAGCGGCGGGCAGTCGCTATATCAGCCGGCGCGCCGCCCCTCGCCCCCCGCCGCGCGCGCGAAGTTGCGGTTCTCACGCCCTCTCCCCCCCCCGCCAGTTACATCCAGCCCCTTCCTCCAACTGCTACGTTCAGCCGCTTCATGCGCCTACTCCCACGCTCCCTCAACGACCCTTTCACAGACCATTCAACGATTGGTTTTAGATTTAGAAGGCTCCTTTTCTTCTTGACACTGACCTTGCTTGCCACTCTCCTCGCGTCACCCTCTTCCATCCTCTCCTTACCTTTACCCTTTCGCCGCCCACATTCCGGCCTCACCTGATCCAGCTCTCTCGAACGTTTTATCCGTCGCTTGTCATCCCTTTTCCCCTTCCTGCCGATTTCAGTTCTCTAAGCTCTGCCATTCTCACGTTCTACCTCCCCAGAAAAGTGATTCCAGTTCATATTTAATTGATCTTCCTCCAGTGTCATTTCATTGTCTCACTTGTCTCTCATGACGCCACCCCAATGCAGTCCCTGTCGTAGATCTTGCTATCTCCAGCTTGACGGCTCGCTAAGATTGCATTCACTTGATAGTCACTTCTCAGATGTTCCAATATCACCATATCTCGTTTATTTCTATCTTGTCCACCAATTTTCATTCCCGTTTCTGTCACACAAAAGTCGTTATCGGTCCTTCTTAGTTGATTTCCTCTCAAAAATATTTACAATTTAGAATTTTCCCTCTCACACCTTCGCCACTCGTGCAATTGTGCGTCTCCGTCATGTTGGTAACCGTCATGTCTCCTGCCTTCTCATCGTTCACGTTGTTTCTCACGCTTTTCCCCTAGCTGTCTTGCCTTCCTCCGTGACAGCTTTTTCTGCCAACGCCTCAGTGACCTCGTCGCCAACGCTGTCCCAGACCAATCTCGCGTCTGAGTCCTTCCAACGACCCTTTTCTTCTTGTCACACCACCGTGGTGTCGCCTCGGCGTAGCTTTGGAATGTATATGAATTCCGCCTCCAGGAACAGACTTTTTTGCAACCGCCAACCCGGAATTCTCTCTCAATGCATGCAGTGATGAACGACTTCCACTTGCAAGCAACTTGAACTCACGATTCCTACACGCGAATGAAGTAAAATCTTAAAATCTTAAAACTGCCCCTACATTCCTCAAAATAAGTTTATTCTTCAATATTTTTTAACTTAACGTTGCTCGGGTATTTATTTCTCACAATTATATATTAAATAATAAAGGGAATAAATACTATCTATTGTGAAGAGTGAAAGTAATTCGTTTTGCCTTCCCACCAATCTCGCCCCGTCTCCCTCCGCTACGGAGAGCCGCGCAAGTCTCAGCCTCGACCAATTCCATCCAACCCTGCTCGCCCACCCGTCCGCTCAGTCGCACCCACAACACTCCCTTGCTGGCATAGGCGGCCAAATTATCTCCAACCATACGATCAACTTTGGCGCCACATCGGGAATTCAACCATTTTGAAGTTATAAAGAGCAAAGAACATACATTTCAAACTTGCCACGCCGGTGATTTTTTCCCTCGCCGCGTCCTTCGAAAAATAAAGTATTACATCCTCGTGTCCGAAAATCTTTGACGGGTTATGACTGCTGGAACTGCTTGTACGAATATCCGAGAGTGCGCAACATCTCCTTAAGGCACGGTACAACTACATCTATAAGCCGTTTGCAGAACGTTGTGTGCAGCCAACCTCCATTGTTTAAAATTCTTCAAACGTCTTATTAAAATTATGTTATATTTACTGATTCATTATACATTTTGGAATGCATTAACAAAAACATTAAAACATCAGAATTACTACACCATATCCATAAAATATATTTTTATGAATATAAATTGACAAAAAATATCATTACTGCTTGGATACTACCACAAGAAAAATGTATATTTGGTAATGATATCGCTGATCTCGAAGCTAAGAGCCACAACAAGAGCACACCAAAACCATTCATCCGAAACAAAGTTAAAGACCTTTGGAAATACAGTAAGAAAAAATGAAATATACAATATGAATCATGGCTAAATAAAAAATCCAGCAACACCCAAAAATTTTACTATTTTTTTGGACTTGTAAAAAATACCTCAATGAATCGTCAAGAAAAATTTGCTCTAACAAGAATTCGTTCAAATCATGCTAAATTCTCTCAAAATTTTTATTGAAAAAGTTTCACAACCTACTTGTACTACCTGCAAAACTATTCTGTCAAAAAACCACATCCTTCTGGAATGTCCCATTCACAATAAAGAAAGAAACAGTGCGAAGGAAATGAAAATTGCAATGCTACTTTAACTTGGCCAAGATTTGGCCAGATTCCAAAAGAAAGTAATGCAGTTTTGCAAAACTATTGATATTTAAACTGAATTGTAACTGCATTTTATTAATGTATCGGTCGCTCATGACCTATGTTGTTCATGCAATTAAAAATAATTTTTTTAAAGTCTTATTCTAAAAACGCTTCAAGAGAGACATTGTGTCAAATCAGAAGAGCCAGGCAGTGTCGGGCCATTCGCCTCGCTCATGTGTAGAAGCTAAGCTATTCGGGAGTGTCAACTGCATATGAGAAATGCATTATTACGTCAAGTTGGTATTTAATTTACAAATTCAATTTACGTGCGAAGCGCGAGCGAATATCTCTACCCACGGAAATTACAAGCTGTAAGGAGGACGCTTTACGTTCGCAAAAACCAGGTAACTTTTCTTCATTCAACACTCAATGCTTCTTACGCTGAGAATGCTAAATGTCGATGTATTTAAACATTTTCAGAAGAACAAAGTGGAAACAGGCGTTTCTACAGACGCCAGGCAGAATTTCTTCGGAATATCTCACCCAATATTTAGCTGCTTCTACACTCCCCAACCCTGCTCTGCCCCTCCTGCTCGCCCCATTAGGCCTCACGTATCCCCTCTCCGCTCCGCTCCTCCCGCCGTCTTGGACCAAACCCCGCCCATCTGTCCCCGTCTCTGCTGCGCTGCAATACGTCGTACCTCAATGAATACCTGCCATATTGCTAAAAAGAAACTATTTCACTCGTATTTTACTCCTTCAGGAATGGATTTTGTAAATTCTTTCATAATGGATATTGGAAAGATAGGTTCCATAAGAATGACCCATTAACGTAAATTCGGCGCAATCCTACGGTCATATCAAGTTCCGAGGTACGTCACGTAAAAAATAGGATGGGAACGCGGGGTCGATAGCACCTTGGATAAAAGAAGGTCGCTGGAGGGCTTTGCGCCATAACACCAGTTACAAACGACTAGTTACTCTAGTGATGAACTTGGTGGCCATACAGAGCCTGAGACATCGTTTCGGGAGGACAACTGGACGGTGTCATCCAGGAGTCTGTCTTTCAGATCGATCGCCAATCCAAAGGGAGTGATGTACTTCAGATTCTACCGGTGACCACAAAATAGGTGGTCCATTTTACCCGACAATTAGAGATAGTTTGGCAACAGATTTAAATACATTATTATGTCAATTTTAATCATTTAATATGGAAAAGACCTTGGGGAATTAATTTATAATGATACCTACAGTGTAAATAGACAGAAAAAAGTATTTACTATTACGAACAAATATTACAATATCAAGGGCACATGGTTGACATTTTTCATTTGAAATCAATATAAATGAAAACCATCTATCTCATATTTTTTTAAACAAAAAGCCTCTTTTTAATGCAATTGGTTTTGATAGGACAAGAACTATTTGGCGTTTGTCTTCAGTGTTTCAGTCGTTAACCATTGGTGGAAAAAATTCTTTAAGCATCTTTCTTAAATATTTAACACAACCATTTTCT